AGAAAACCAGTCGTTGACAAAAAACCAGTCCTTGACAGAAAACCAGTCCTTGACAGAAAACCAGTCCTTGACAGAAAACCAGTCGTTGCCAAAAAACCAGTCCTTGACACAAAACCAGTCGTTGCCAAAAAAACAGTCCTTGACACAAAACCAGTCCTTGACACAAAACCAGTCCTTGACACAAAACCAGTCGTTGCCAAAAAAACAGTCCTTGACACAAAACCAGTCCTTGACACAAAACCAGTCCTTGACACAAAACCAGTCGTTGCCAAAAAACCAGAGAAATATGACCAAGAAGCACTGCCTGTGAAGAATCGCCATAGTCTTCTGCCATCTCAACCTCCGAAAACTGCCAAGGTTCAAAAGGAAAATGACCCTCCTTTTATCCCCAAGGTTGAACAGTGCTATCACCAAATCAACTGGCCACAAGCGGTGCTGCAAAAATGGGCCAACGAGAAGGCTAACCGGGAGAAGAACTTCAACCTGGTCTTCAACCAAGGACAAACCTTTAAGAATAGAAAACGAGAAGCTAAGAAAAGAAGCCGCGCTGAAATGGAATCGGCATCTCACTGCTCAGATGTTTAAAGAACACAGAATTATATTGGCTTTTGTTGTAAGAATATAGTCCCGATCTTACATTTAATTTCAGACCCATTGTTCTCAGGGTTGTGTTCACCTTTAATAAAAGCTGATGCCCCTTGAAAGGTGTTTCTGGGGCAGGGATGCTTTGGTTGGAAATGTGTTTCTTTTTTTCTGTAATAAACATATAAAGCAGTCCTGGCGATGTCTCATGTCTCTTCCACGTTTCTGGCGTGCATGCGCACGCAACAATCAACTGGCCTTCTGGTGCATGCAATGGTGCCTGAAACTGGAAGAGCTGGTCTTTCATTTTCCGGCATGAGCCAGCTGATCGTCAAGCGCATATGCGCACCAGTAACTGGGAAACTAGTTAGCCAGCATGCATGTGTTCACTGGAAACCAGAAGTTCATTTTCCAATGTGCGTAAGCCCTCTGGGCAGCTCCTCTTCCGGGTTGTGGTCCAGATGAGTTCATGCTCCCTTTTGGTGCCGGAAAGTTCGCCATCATTGCTGTAGATTATTCAAACATGAAGAGTCCTAGGAAGCATGATAATTAAGCTGTGCAATCACCAGAAGGAGTGATTCTGACATTTCCAGCCTCATTAAAATACAATATGAAACTTTACATCACTGCAGACAGATTTCACCCATAGGATGTGAGGTGGTCCAGAGATTTGTCCCCAATGGCACTGACTGGGTCCTGCATATGGTCTATAATATGTTTGCCCTTCGTTTAAAATGAAGCTAATCAAAATTAGCTGAAGCAGTCAGTATATTTTTTATACATTTTTTTATTTTTATTAAACAACACACTCAAAAAATAACCATCTTACATTACATCTTGTAGAAAGTGTGTCAATTGGTTATAATTAGCTTTCCGTACATCTCTTTCACAGTCATTACATTCATATCAAATGTCAAAGTTCTTAATTAGTCTTACTTTCAACATATCATAGTTCTCNTCCCAGCTTCTGCCAACCTAGCAGTTCGAAAGCATGTAAAAATGCAAGTAGAAAAATAGGAACCACCTTGGTGGGAAGGTAACAGCGTTCCATGCGCCTTCAGCATTTAGTCATGCCAGCCACATGACCATGGAGACGTCTTCGGACAGCGCTGGCTCTTCGGCTTTGAAACGGAAATGAGCACCGCTCCCTAGAGTCGGGAACGACTAGCACACATGTGCAAGGGGAACCTTTACCTATTGTGGAAGGGAGAAAGTAGCAAAGGAGGAGGGCAAACCACTGTTTATATGTTCTGCAGATCTGACATGAGTTACATGCTAGTCTATAAATTATGCTGGTTTCCATGAGACAGTGACTTCTTCATGCCAAACATTAAAAACTGAAGTGCTGGGAATGTTTTGGCTTTGTTTCTTCATGTAATTCGCAAATCTGCCTAGAATAGTTTGTGACTGCGAATGAGCAAATCTGGTTACTTTGACAAAATTACTTTAAAAAAAAATTATATACATAATTTCCACGCGGCCTTCCTTGTAGTTGTCATTGTAATAATCTTTAAGGGATTCCTCCAGTTTCATTCTGGGCAAATGGTCAGATCTTTTCTTCTCATACGTTGGTGTAAATGTTGGCTTGTATCTTACTTGTTTCCAAAGAGGGTTTTGGTTTTTTCCAAATTTAATTCCAGACCTTTCCCTCAGTTGATTTTTTTTTTAAAGAAAAGAAAAAAGGGATGTTTTTCTGATATCCATAAATATCAAATTCAAAAGACTACTGTAAACCACACTTTTATTACTAAGCCCATTTCCTCCTGCTACTAAAAAGGTTAAAGAGTTGTTTGAACAGAACAGAATTGGAAGGGACCTTGAAGGTCTTCTAGTCCAACCCCCTGCTCAGGCAGGAGATCTGACCTATACCATTCCAGACAAAAGTTTGTCTATTTAAATTCAACTCAACTCAGGCTGACTCAGCCTTAACGCTAATCCTTTGTCTCCCTCAATATATTTTTTTTGTTTTACTTTCCAGCCTCACCTACAAACCTGATATTTCCTGCTTGTTTCCCATCAGAAAACCTAATCAGGTTCATCTTTGATTAGCTTTTCAAGATCAGCCAAGATTGATTAAGTGCTTCCATTGTGCGTTGTAATATGGAGGATTTTTCCTTTTTGTCTTATGACACTATTGTGCTCTCTTTTCACCTCTCCACAGATGCAGATGCCCAAAAGCTGTCTCGAATTCCCGCAAAAGATGCAGGCAAAAAACCAGTCGTTGCCAAAAAACCACTCCTTGACAAAAAACCAGTCCTTGACAAAAAACCAGTCGTTGACAAAAAACCAGTCGTTGACAGAAAACCAGTCATTGACAGAAAACCAGTCGTTGACAAAAAACCAGTCCTTGACAGAAAACCAGTCNCTCCCTCCCTCCCTCTCTCTCTCTCTCTCTCACACACACACACACACATTGTGGCATGGGGCTAAGGTAGGAGCAACCAGGATATATGCTGTCTTGAGGTAGGAGATAAATCTAACAAATAATGGCAATATGTATGTCCCTCTTCATATTTACCATATTTTTTGGACTATAAGATGCACCGGAGTATAAGACGCATCAAGATTTTGAAGAGAAATAAAAAAAAAAAGGTTTTGCACTCTGTAGGGCTCCCAAACCCTCTACCTGCCTCAATTTTGTGAAAAATGGGGCAGGCAGAAAGTTTGAGAGGCCTGCAAATTGCTCCTGGGGGCTGGGGGGCAAAAACAAGCAAAAAATGGCTCGGTTTTTTGTTTGTTTTTGCCTTCCCCAGCCACCAGGACACTTTGCAGGGCTTCCAACCCCTCTACACATCCATTTTTGTGAAGGGGTAGGGCTTCGGGAGGCCAAAAATGCTCTATTCAGTGGATAAGACGCACCCAGATTTTCAACCTCTTTTTTTGGAGAAAAGGTGCGTCTTGTACTCCGAAAAAATACGGTAATTTTATTTTGAGATCTTCTGGAGAAGGTTTGGCCGCAACAAGAAATACCTTGCAGTTCTCTGCCCAGAAGGACTTAGGGAGCAGCTGGGCAGGAAGGTGAGTCTTGAGGGTCCTTGGAGACGGCATCATGTCAGCTTGGTCCACCCCTGCTTAAAGGACACAGAAGACCAAAAGGGTGAGAATCCATATTTGGACCTGAATGGATGGTCAGGGCATGTCTGGGGACTATACTTTTATAGTTTGGCTGAGGATCTGTGGTTGGACATCTTCAGCTATTCCCCATGTCCTGCTAAACAATTGCTCCCAGACTTTTGTGTAGAAAAGGCAGGCTACCCGAGGTGTGGAATGGCCTTGCCCATTCAATGAATGGGTGTCGTTGATGCACGGGGCCTCTCTGGCATTTCTCCAGATCGCCTTCTTGTTGGATCATATCCACTATCTCTTGTATCCAAGTGGTACCTAAGGGGAGAGAGAGATTGAGAGATCAACATTCATCTATTCTGTGCTACGCATAAGCGATCTACTATGCCTCTAGGCCAGAAGTGGTATTCTGCCGGTTCTGACCGGTTTGCCCAAACCAGTAGCGGAAATCGCGGATGGCCCCGCCCACCTGTCCCAAAACTACGGCATCCCATTTAGGCCTTTTTTTAAGGCAAAGGGCATTCGCAGAAGGTGGAGCTCATGCGCGGATGCTGACATTTGCGAACTGGTAGGGAAGGTAAAGGAACACCACCCTTGCTCAAGACCCTCAAAATAAGCCAATGTCTGCGATCACAAACTTTTTCATAATTTGCAGGTTTGTTCTCACTTCCGCCAGCCCCCAAATGGTGAAAGGAATTATGCAAATCAAGAAACCTTCTCTTTCATCACCCTCAGAAAAGCATCGCAAAGCATCACAGGAACAATTTCAGCTTAGCTAGGAAAGGTTGGGAATTGGATTGTGCAAAGGATCACCAAACCAGATTAAATTCTTTCTGACAATGCAAGATCATTCTTCAAAATCTAACGGCCATCCCAGAGAGCTGAACGGACTCTCTTGAAAAACAGAACAGAATTATACTGGATCAGTATTGGGATCTGTCGAAAGCCATGAGGAGTTTACTTTCCTCTATAACCGTGATGGCGAACTTATGGCACACGTGCCACAGGTGGCATGCAGAGCCCTCTCTGCGGGCATGTCAGCCATCGCCCCAGCCCAGGTCCACCATGCATGTGCGCATGCCTCCCAACAGCCACCTGATCTTTGGGACTCTGCTGCGCATGTGCAGGGGTAGGGCACATGCGAGGATGCACATGCACGGGAGGCTGCTCGCATTGCATTTTGGGGACTCACGCAGTGCCCCCGTGCCCTGTTTTGGGACAGGAAGACCTCCTGCACCAAGCTGGAAGCAAAAAATGGGCGGGGGAGTGGGGCGCATGCGTAGAGTGGGAGAGTGCGGAGGCTCGTGCATACAGGCATGCATGTGGAGGGTTGTGCATGCATGCATGGGTGTCATGCAGGTATGCATGAGGGTGGGGCGCACAGGGGGTCACAAGCGCATTATATTATGGTTGCAGGCATGCACACGCTTTTGGCACGAGATGATAAAAAGGTTAGCCAAGGTATAGGTACCTTGGGGTACTATATACTCACAAACTGGACATGACTTCACCCCTAGATTCTTTACCTGATTTTGGGTAAGTACAAAGAAGTATGTCATCTGGCTTGGCTTGGAAGCGCTGGATCCGGTCCCACTCATTACAAGTGCTTTTTTGCAAGGGAATCCCTTCCACCTCACCTAGTCCAGGGCAGGTGTCTGATGTGGGATCTTTTCCTTGCTCCATGGATCTTAGCTATGACAAATGGACAAGGCAGGGAAGAAAATCTGGGTAAAACAAAAAAATTCTTTCCTGGAGATCTTCTCTAATGAATCCTTCATAAGCAGGGTGTTAGACAAGATCACCTATCCAATTCTATGATTTGGTGTTATTGGGGAAACTACTAGTAAAAATCTTGATTTAACAGACTTCATTTTAACGGATTTCATATCTAAAGGAAAAATCTTTCTTTGCATTTAGTAATCATCCCTATTTAGTGGGCAAAGTTCTCTAAATTCAATTCAGTCCAGATTATTTATAATTTATATAATTATGTAGTGTTGTTATATAAATGAATAGAGTGGTGCAGTGGCCTCAAGATGGAGCTCTCGCCTCACGATCAGGAGGCTGTGAGTTCTATTCTTGGTAGAGGCAGATATTTCTCTCTCTGGGCACATGAAAATATATCTGCCGAGGGAGGGGCTGACGTCGCTACAACACGACATGCAATCTTGGAGCTCCAGGATTGCTGTCAATATCTCTGCTGCTGGACGGTCCTTTTGGACCTAAACCATCCCGTAGAGACGGTGATAGAGAAGGGCACGTCCTGCTGATCTCAGAGGCATCGCAAAGGCCCTGATCGATCCAGGAGAAGCTCTTTTTCCAGCTACAAGAGAAGCAGCTACTGAAGCTGCAGAAGGTTGGGACAGCCTGCGAATGGAAAGCAGGAAAGAGAGATTGTCAAAATGGTGGGAAAAATCTCTACTATTAGAGAACCCAAAAAGATTTAGAATAAAATTAAAATTGAAGACAGAAGAGAGTAAGTGGTGGATTAAGCCTGTATTAAAATTAGTGTGTTATTTATTTTTCCTTAACTTCAATTTTTAAATGGATGGAATTCTTACAAATCCTCTTACTTTTTAAATTGCACTGGTCTCTTTTTTCCTTCTTCTATTTTTCCTCACTTTTTGTATCTGTGGATCAAGAATCTGTTTCTTTTCAACACTCAGTTGGATTTTAAAGTCCTTGATTTTGTTTTAAAGGAACAGTAGTAAGAGCATAATTTGTTTATATAGGTGCTCTTTTNATTTCCTCTGAACTGCAATTATCAGCAAGAGATAACCGCAATAAGAATACGGGTAGTCCTCCCCTTACGATCACAATGTAACCCAAAATTTCTGTTAAGTGAGATATTTGTGGTGTCCCATTTTACGGCCTTTCTTGCCACAGATGTTAAGTGAATCACTGCCATTGATGAAGTTAGTCACCTGGTTGTTAAGTGAATCTGGCTTCCCCATTGACTTTGCTTGTCAGAAGGTCGCAAAAGGGGATCACATGACCTTGGGACACAACAACGGTCATAAATATGAACCAGGTGCCAAGCACCTGAATTTTGATCACATGATCATGAGGAGGCTGCAAAGGTCGTGACTGCGAAAAACATTTTTCAGTGATGTTTTAACTTTGAACCGTCAACAGTGAACTGTTGTAAGTTGATGATCTAATTGGAAGCCTTTGCAAATCCAGCCTTTTGAAGAACATTACAGGTAGTCCTCAATATATAACCGTTCACTATTCAAAGTTACAACAGCATTTCAAAATGTGACTGGAAATGCATCCTTGCACTTATAACCTACGCAGCCAGCATCCCCACATTCATGTGATCAAAATTCAGTTACTTGGCATCCGGCATGTATTTACAATGGATGTAGCATCCTGGGGTCATGTAATCACCATTTATAACCTTCCCAACTATCTTCTGGCAAGCAAAATCAATAGAGAAAGCCAGATTCATTTAAAGACTGCACAATTCACTTAACTCAGGGGTCAGCAAGCCGTGGCTCTGGAGCTGCATGTGGCTCTTTCATCCCTCTGTTGCAGCTCCCTGTTGCTGGTCAGTGCCACAATTTTGAGATAACCTTTTGGTTGGGCGGGGGGAAGCATGGTGCGCCAAGAGGAGACTCTATAGCAAAGAGTGAGTCAGCGCCACAATTGATAGGGCTTTCAGTTAGGACAGGTAGAGGAAAAAGGATGCCACACTAGGAACAGACTCTATGGTGGGGGAACCGGACTTCCGGTCAGCTCCAGAATTAAATAGGGGGCTTCCGGTTATGACCTTTGTGGCTCCCAGTGTTTTCTTATCTGTGGGAAACGGGTCCAAATGGCTCTTTGAGTGTTTAAAGTGTTTAAAGTAAACCCCTAACTGCATTGATTCACTTAACAAGTGTGGCGAAAAAAGAATTTGTAAAATTGGGTGTGACTCATTTAATAGCTGCCTTGCTTAACAAAATTTTGGTCTCCATTGTGGTCATATGTCGATGACTACTTGTACATTTTATTGAGTGGTTTTTAATAATTTCATTTTTTGATTTCCTGAATGTCTAGGCCTGTTTAATGACCTATAATGTTGGGTCCCGATAAATCATCATTTATCAGTTCCTTGCACGTGTGTTCCTTGTACCCATGTTCCAAAACAAACATGCATTTTTCTAGGATTCCTCTAAAATTCTTGTAATGTAGGATACCTAAAGACAATTCACTTCTAGTGACTTGACGGGGAGTGGGAGAAAGCATACCTTTTCTCATGAATGGAGAAATAGACTGGTCCATGACGTACTGGGGTGCATTTGCTCGGTTGACCATGGGATTGTGCTTCATGACTTCGAAGGAGGTATGATGCACAATCTTGTCTAGAATTGCCACATCCAATTGCTTCCCTATAAATTGCATTATCTTCTGGATTTCATGCTTTGGGTCCTATGTGAGACAGAGCATAGCAGAGATGAATAAAAGAGAAGCAGAACAGAACGGATTCTTAGGAATTCCATAGTGAAAGTCAAGTCAATATCTGACATTTTTTCCCCAGTAGGCTTCATCAATCCGCTTATTATGAGCCACTATGAAGTCATTCTCTCAGTCACCGACCTATAATATATAGTGTGCTTGGAAAATTGGGTAACCTTGAAAGCCAGCCACCAAACACCCCAAACTGATTCAAGATGTGCCATGATGACCTGACACCATATTTTTGCAACAGTTCTGCCTTTTGGCACTCCAAGAGAAACACATATGTTGGCAACCCACTAGCAGCTCATCCTCATGCTAATAAAAAATACCCAGTCATAATAAGCAAATTGCAAAGTTTGGTCTATTGGTTAAGGCGCCAAGCTAGAAACCAGAAGACTGTGAGTTCTATTCCTACATTTAGGCATGGAAGCTGGCTTGGTGACTTTGGGCCAATCACCAGGAGACAGAGGTTCTACACCTGTTTTAGGCATGAAAGTTGGTTGGGTAAACATGGGCGAATCACTAGGAAACAGGGAGCTCTAGTCCCACCTTAGGCATGAAAGTTGGCTGGGTAAACTTGAGCCAATTACTAGGAAACATAGAGTTCTAGTCCCGCCTTAGGCATGAAGGTCAGCTGGATGACATTGGGCCAATCACTAGGAAATCGAGAGTTCTAATCCCACTTTAGGCATGAAAGCTGATTGGGTTACCTTGGGCCAACCATTCTCTCTCAGTCCATTACGTCAGGCTTAGGCAACAAGCCAAATGATCAATTCCTGTCCCAATCAAAAGTATATCAATTCAATTCAATTCAATTTATTAAATTTATATGCTGCCCTTTTCCCCCGAAGGGGACTCAGGGCGGCTCACAACTCGAACCGGGGAGGGGNCCTGGGGTTGATGAGTTCCCTTCCCCTCTCGATTTGTGTGGCTGTTGGTTATTTTTAAATGCTTGTATTTGTAGTTTCTGTGTTTCCCTTTCCCCTCTTGGGTTTGTGCGCCGCCCTGAGTCCCGCTGGGAATAAGGCGACATATAAATAAAACGAAACCTAAACCTAAACCTAAACCTATCAGTAGCTGGACTGGAGTAAAGAGAAATCCTTGACTTGAAAGATTATAGTGAATTTGTTTGAAACCTAGCAATAAGTCTTGGATGTTTTAATGGCAGTGTTTACAACCTATGATGCTAGCCAAGGTTTCAAAACTACACGTCATTCAGGTGCTTTGTTTGTATTACAAGATTTTTTTTCTGACTAACCCTCCTTTTGGGGGCAAATTGTCTTAAATTCGGGGTATTGTGGTCTGTCTATAAGACGAATGTGGTAATGATCTTACCTAATCTCTTCTCCTCTTTCATTTCCTTTTAAAATAAAATGATTGACTGCTAGAACTATCAATCACAGCATGGTGCAGAAGTTCCTACTTACAGTGTTTTGGAAAGAAGGGGGAACTGAGAGGAAAGGGATTTGGGAAATAAATATGGAAGAAGGACTGAAGGAAGCTTGGAGTCCCAACCCTAAGGCCTCCATCTCTGCAGACAGAGGCTGAATCCTCTTTGGATTCTTATATTGGTAGTCCTCGCTTAACACCTACAATTGTCATGTATTGTCTGCATCTTCATGCTTCTGCTTGTTGGAAACCAGCTGTGCACAAATAGGGAACATGTGTCTCCACGATGCAGCAGTGGTGGTCATAAGTGCAAGGACTGATCATAAGTTACTTTTTTTCCAGCAATGTTGTAACTTCGAGGAATTGCTAAACAGCACAGTCATTAAACGAGGATGGCTTGTAGCGTCCTCTGGATTCTCTCTAACTTGCGAGGCTGGCAAAATGGACATGATAATGTGTGCCATTTTTAGGCTGCTTTTGGTGGGTTGAAACTTTAGGGCCGTGATGGTGGACTTATGGTATCTGTGCCAAAGATGGCATCTAGAGCCCTCTCTGTGGGCATGCTAGCCATTGCCCCAGCCCAACTCCCCTGTGCATGCATATGTGCCTCCCACTGGCCAGCTGGTCTTCGGGTCTCTGCTGTGCAGGAACAGGGACAGGAGGCATGTGCAGGGTGCATGCACGCATGCGTGGGAGGGTGCTTGGGTTGCATTTTGGGGGCTCGCGTAGCACACCCGGACTCTGTTTTGGCTTCCAGGTTAGTGCAGGAGGCTTTCCAGGCCCAAAATGAGGTATGCGCGAGCCTCGATGCTCCCTTTTGGGCCTGGAAGGCCTCCTGCATCAACTTGGAAGCAGAAAATGGGTGGGGGAGTATGAGGGGGGGTCTCAGGTGCATGCATGGGGTGTCGTGCACGAATGTATGGGGTTAGGGTGCATGGGGGATATAGCGTGCGCATTGCATTATGCGTGCGGGCACACACACTTTCTGCACGAGACAACAAAAAGGTTAGCTATCACTGCTTTTGGGGATTGAAGTGCCTTCGATTTTGAAATTAATTACGGGTAGTCACTTAGTGATAGTTCACTTAGTGATCATTCAAAGTTACAACGGCACTAAAAACGTGACGTGACCACTTTTTATAGTTACAACTTTTGCAGCATCCCCATGATCATGTGACTAAAATTCCAGTACTTAGCAACTGGTTCATATTTATGACCTTTGCTGCATCCCGGGGTCACGTTGTCCCCTTTTGCGACCTCCTGACAAGCAAAGTCAATGGGGAAGCCAGATTCACTTAACAACCAAGTTACTAACTTATGAACTACAGTAATTCACTTAACAATGGTGGCAAGAAAAGTTGTAAAACGGGGCAAAACTCACTTGACAAATGTCTCATTTAACAACAAAAATTCTCGCCCAATTATGCTCAAGGTCAAGGACTACCTGTAAATGCCTTTTAGGCTCATGCGTGAAGTAGTAATTTGCAAAGAACGCAAATTGCTTGCAAATACCTTTCAGAGTAATTTGCAAATTGTACATGCTTGCAAATAACTTTCCTTACATATACCAGCTACAACACATGTGTTGTTGTTACTCACCCAGTGCTAACGAGGAAAAAAGTACCAGCTTTGAAAGTCTCTCAAGACATTGAGCAAAAGTCTGAATCTCAAATCTCAAATCTTTACCCCTGTTGCATGACTGTAGTATCATTATTACCATTTTTACTGTCTTTATTGTCCCCACATATTGGAATCATTATGATTATTATTATCCTGTTGCTTTCCATGTATGGGGAGCTTCTGCACCAGAGGCAAATTCCTTGTGTGTTTAATCATATTCAGCCAGTTTTCTAATTATAAATTCTTTCTCCACTCCTTTGGGAAATGTTCAGTCTCCCTAAGTCAATAACTTTCAAGATATCCATGTACTTTTTAATCTTAAATGTACATATGCATATTTCTACCTTTGTTTTTTTTCCCTGTTTTATCTCAAGCACTCCTTGTTATTGACTCTCCTTTGTGAATAAATAATTATTGATTGATATGTCTAGAAAGTCCCTCCCATCTAAGTTACATTTAATTTATTGGCAATTTCAGTTTAGTTGGGTATGTTTTAGTACAACTGTTGGCTGATTTTCCATCACAGGAGAGCTGTGTTAGTCTAATGTTGCAAAATCATCAATCAATCAATATCAATCAATCAATAAAAACTCAGAAACAGCACCTTTTGCAGCGAACATATCAGTGGTGGGTTTCAAAATTTTTTGGAACCTCTTCTGTAGGTGTGGCCTGCTTTCCGGGTCCACTGGTGGGACCTCTTCTAACCAGTTCGGTAGANCCCCCTGGTCGCAGCCGACAAGTGGTGTTCAAGAGTCAGTTGTGGGTCCAGGAGGACTCCCAAATTGCGAACCCTGTCTGAGGGGCGTACTGTTTGACCCCCCAGCCTGAGAGATGGAACATTTGGCCATATCACTCATTGATCTAAACAAAAAAAGAGGCCTGCATTTTCAGTAAAAAGCTGGGAAGAAGAAAACAATGTGCAAATCTTCAAAGCTACGACCCTATTTACTTTAAAAAGTAGACTGAAAGAATGTCATGGCAGCACAGATCTTAACTCAAGTTCTCTAACAGTTTATTTTCACAACATTTTCCAAGCAATTGGGCAATGTTCCTAAAAGGAGAGATTATTCATGCCTTATAAAAAAATTGTAATAAAATTCTAGGATTCCATAAAGAGAAAAAGAACTTTCATTTTTCACTGGATTGCATAAAAACATGAGGACAATCTACCCATCTCATCTCAACGTTGCAACCTTGCAGGAGAAGGAGCCACCAGAGGGGGGGGGGGGCATGATTTTCCAGTCTATTCAGACTTTCTTTCCAGAACTCACCTTTTTAATGTCTTCATAAAAGAGATACAGGACGCGGTAAGTATCTTTTGCTTTCCACCAACCTTTTACGTGATTGTACCAAGAGCCCCAGCCCACTGGAAAGATACAGAACAGAGCCATCATGTTGAGGGTGAAGATCTCAGTGAGACATACAACATTATTCTGAAATGTTTGGGGTCCCCTGCTCTTTTCCACTCAGACAGCGAAAACTTTGTAAAAGTTGTCCTATTGACATTCACCATAAGAAAGGTGGAAATGGCGTGCTTATGGTCCACTGCATTTCTCATCATCACAGCTCAGAATTGGAAAGAGCCATTTAGGTTCCTTAAGTCCAATTTAAAAGTCAGTTTGGTGCAGTGCTTAAGGCAGCAGATAGAAACTGGGAGACGGTGAGTTCTAATCTTGCCTTTGGCATGAAAGTCAGCTGGGTGACTTTGCAAACCAATTATCAGGAGCCTGTAAGTTCCAGTCTTGCGTTAGACATAAAGCCAGCTGGGTGAACTTGGGCCAGCCACTCCCTCTGAGCCCTGGGAAATAGGCAATGGTAGATCTCTTCCAAACACTTGACAAGATATCTGGAGGGACTTGTGTGGGCAGTTTCCAGGAGTCAAAAAAATGACTCAAAGTCACAGTCACACACACACACACACACCAGGGGTGGGTTCCTGACAGCATAACTGCCGGTTTTGTGCGCATTTGCACCTAAAATGGTCTGCGCATGAACACGTTAGAAAAGGAAAAAAATGAAATTTTTGCAATGAAGATTGTTCTGCCCATGTGCAGAATTGAAAATCAAGATGGCGCCACTGCCTATAGAACCGGTTTGGGGGCATGGCAGGCTGAGTTACTACCTACTCATCCAAACTGGTCCGAACCGGTAGGAACCCACCTCTGACACACACTGACACACACACCAGAGGTGGGTTCCAAATCCTGGTTCTACCAGTTTGCTTGTGCATGCACACGTGCTCGCAACACTTCTGCGCATGCACAGAAGCGCCCTGGCAGGTGGGCAGAGCCTTCCGCCATTGCCACTACCAGTTCTCCTGAACCAGGCTGGACCGGGAGCAACCCACCACTGACATACATATCCAAGTCCAACTCACTTCTACTTGCTCGAATCCAGATTAAAGCATCCCAGATAGATGCCTAGTTAACCACTACTAGAATGGATCCAACAGAGCTGAGCTCATCTAGGCAACTGCTTCTAGAAGATAATACTTGTAGCTCAGGGTTGAGCTGAACCTTTGTTGCTCTCTGAGCTTGGTTGTTTTCTTACAAATGTTCCATTACCCAACTAGATAAAAAAGTAATTTGCAAATCCTTCCTCCTCCTAGCACTGATGAGATTATCTAGTTGGGTAATGAAACGTCTCCAAGGAAACGAGCACTAAGGATCCCACAACTGCTTCTGCCATCATCAACCTGCTTTTGCTGCAGATGCAGATTTTCCCTCTAACATTCAAGTGCAATTTATTTTCTTGTAATGCAAGGCTTTCTAATAATACGCCTAATAAACATTTCCCGCAAGGAATCTGCTCTTTACCATTGTAGGAAGCCCTTCCCCTCCCCAGATTAAAATATTTTTTATTCTTAATATTAAGAGAGGCAGGATAGAATATTTCCCCAAAGGAGAAATGGAGAAACATGTTCTTAAAGGCAGAAAGCAGCCCCTGTCTTTCTTAATAACCTCAAGCAGAAGCCTTAAGTCTTTAGAGGTGGATATTTTGTATCTGTTAAGAAAGACTGGGACAATCCATTCATAAACAAAATGCACAGAAGGTTGGAGCTGATGAGATTAAAGTCTACATACCCCCATCTAAATTCTAAGGACAGGACAGGCTGTTTAGGACATAATAGGATTTACCCAGCACCATTAGTAAAAGACACAAAACTCGCTACATTGCACAACCCCCTGGAGTATCTCAAACACAAAACTCCAGAATCCTATAAAGATCCATTCATTCACTTAGCCATTTTGTCAGCCACCCCAGAAACATTGCTGCTGTCTGGAAACTAAATAAATCTTCCCTTGCAGTCAGCCTCCATTTTATTTCAAAGGCCTTTCTTGCCTTTCTTGGAACCGGGCTAGATTTTTCTTCCTACACTTTACTGAAAAATCCCCACCTCCCAATGACCGGTTCCTTTCAGAAAATTGAGAAATGGGTGCTTGACTCACCTTTGCCTGCCATGAAAATCTCCAAATATTCCTCCCATGTTCCAGGATCGGGTAACATTTTGTTCATTCTTTGGAAATGGAAATAGGACACCAGGCAATCCTTGGGATTCCTTGCCATGTAAATGAACTGAGGCGAAGCAGCAGCAGCAGCAGAAGAAACAATCCCGGATGAAACAATAAATAAAAAGAAGCGTGTGCTTGCAACGTGTCTCAGTCTTGGCAGCTTTGAGATATGCGAACTTCAACTCCCAGAATTCTCGCTGGGGAATTCTGGGAGTTGAAGTCCACATGTCTTAAAGCTGCCAAGGTTGAGAGACACTAGCATCAAGGAAAGGAGGGCACCCCAGAAGGTTCCTCCATATTGCTATTATGTCTTTAACCCTTTCACTGCGACGCTCAACTCTAGTTTTCAACACTGATTGAGTGTTAAAGTCAGTTAAACAATGGAAGGGTCAAGGAACTCATTGTTGACCTCTGTTTAGGGCATCATTTGGCCTAAAAACGACAAAAATCTGTTTTCATGTGATAGCTGGAGGTGGTTTTCAGCCGGTTCGAATCGGTTCTGGCATACCGGTAGCAGAAATTTTGAGTAGTTCGGAGAACCGGCAAATACTACCTCTCGCTGGCCCTGCCACCCCCACCCCTACCGTTCCCTTCCATATATTCCCTTATTTTTTTAGCTCAGCTGATTTGTGCAACAGAGCATATTTCTGCTGAGCTAAAAAACAGCTCAGCTCACCAGTGCTGAGATCAAGGGTGGTCTTTGAGCACTGTGCGCTCGTGCAAAGCGCTCTCTCATAGAACCAATAGGAAAGGATTTGGAATCCCACCACTGCTGATAGCAAATAAGAGATGTATTCCCCCACTCCCCAAAGGTATACGATTGTCAACGTAGGTAAGAAGAATTTCACTCCATTCAGACAAACAAACCAGAATGTGGAGGGATCACTCCACTTACAGCCNCTTTAATTTTAATTTTATTTAAAATTTTAATTTTTTTCGTCGCGCTGTGATGACGTCACATGCGCGCTTTCGTCGAGCGCGATTTTGTCCTCCGCAGTTTTGACGGGTCACGATTGTCCCAACTCAGTATGAAGCAACAGAGAAAAACTCTACAACCTTTCCTGCAATGCAGTTCAGCGTCTATGGAAATTTTCTAATCATCCAGCTCCCAAAGGTTTGTTTTTTTTTTAATCCAAAGGGCAACTGAACTTGATTTTTTTTTTGGGGAAAATGTTTTTACTTCTCATCCAAGAAGCTCCTTTAATTAGTTTGCAAAAGTATAACTCTTCAGTTAAAATAAAACCTGGAGACATGGACTTACCTGACCTTCTCTGACAACCGAACAGAATCACTTGGAATGGGTACCTGCTCAGGTGCTGCTTCCGCCGCCCAACGTGATGTGGTCAGCAAAAGGCAATCATATATTTAGCATCCAAGCAAGCTCCTTCTTAAAGGAGCTGGTATCTGGTTCCAAAGTCCATTTTGTTTCAACTGTTTAACCAGTGAAATGGTAATGATTATCTCAATAGGCTTGTGGAAAAAGTGGAGCCTACATAAGCCACGTTTTCATGGCAGGCTGAGATTTATTTTATTTCTTTAAATCCTGCTTTTATTATTTTCATAATAAAACTCAGGGCAGTGAACATAGCTAATGCTTCTTCTCCCTCCTGTTCTTCCCACAATGACCACCCTGTGAGGTGGGTTGGGCTGAGAGAGAAAAATAGCCAGTCCTCAACTTACAGTAGTTCATTTAGTGACCATTTGATGATGGTGGTGCTGAAAAAAGTGACATGGCTGGTTTTTTCCCACATTTATGACCGTTGCCGCATCCCCATGGATTCGGATGCTTGTCAAACTGGCTCACATTATGACGGTTGCAGTATCCTGGGTCATGTGATCATTTTCTGTGATTGAGCCGAGGTGGCGCAATGGTTAAATGCAGCACTGCAGGCTACTGCTAGATCAGCAGTTCAGCGGTTCAAATCTCACCGGCTCAGGGTTGACTCNGTTCGGTAGATTTGATGAACCGGTTCTACCGAATAGGTGCGAACTGGTAGGAACCCACCTCTGGAACATATATATTTTTATTAAAAGGCACTCCTATGAACAGAATGTGTCCCTTGTTCTAGTGGAATTTCCAAATATCACTCAACAGAGGTTATATCAAGAATGGATAAATTTTGGATCAAGAATTAACCTCAACTGCTCTTTGATCAAATCATGTCATATTGCCCAGAATCAGCTACATGTTATTGCACTAACATATTAATTACTGTATCATTCAGAGTTGGAAAGTTTATGGGAATTGTAATGTAAGCTCAACTAGTTTAGCATTTTTTTAAACAATAAGGAGAAAAAAACCCCTATTGTCTCAAAAATGGGAGAAAAGGAAGATTGTAGCCCTAGAGGTGGCATTCAGCCAGTTCTGACAGATTCTGGAAAACCAGTAGTGGAAATTTTGGGTAGTTCAGAGAACCGGCAAATAGGCCCGCTGTCTCCCAGCCGATCTTCTTTTGTTGCCCTGAACAGGAGAACAGGGCTGGGAAGCAGGTTAGTGGGATGGGGAGGGAATGGGATTTTGCAGTATCCTTCCCCTACAAAGTAACGCTTACAGAACCGGTAGTAAAAAAAATTCAATCCCACCACTGCCTAGCACTGTGTCCTTCAACCAGCAGAGGGCTGCTCTCCTCTGACTTAGGAAAAGCCCAACCAACAATCAATTATATTTAGAACATAATAACAGAGTTGGAAAGGACCTTGGAATTCTTCTAGTCCAACCCCCTGCTTAGGCAGGAAACCCTATATAATTTCAGACAAATGGTTATCCAATCTCTTCTTAAAAACCTTCCAGTGTTGGAGCATTTACAACTTCTGGAGGCATGTTGTTCCACTGATTAATTGTTCTAACCGTCAGGAAATTTATCCTTAGTTTACAGATGAATTCACATATATATTTCCACATAAAGTTTGCACCTTTTCTCTATGCTCAAAATATTTCCATAGCTCCCCTCCATCTTTTAGAACAGGACAATGGAGCAGTGCAACAGAATTGGAAGGGACCTTGGAGGTCTTCTAGTCGAACCCTCTGTTCAAGCCGGAGACCACATATCATTTCAGACAAATTGTTATCCAATCTCTTCTTAAAAACCTCCAATGTTGGAGCACCACAATTGGATTTTCCATTATTTCTCCTAAAGAGTCAACCTCTGTAGAACCAATTGGAATGCGATCATAGCTATCAGGTAAAATCCATGAAATTACCAGGAGTCACAAAGTCAGAGACTTTCTGTTGTGTATTGGGATGTTTTTTGCCCTCCGGAGGCTTCAGGAAAGCTTTCTAAAGCCTCCGGATGGCAAAAAAATGGTCCTACAGGCAAACCAGAAGTCGACTCCCAAACTTCCGGATTGCCTGTAAGGCCGTTTTTTGCCCTCCAGAGGCCTTCCGGGGGCAGGGGTGGGAGGCTGTTTTGTCCTCCCCGGGCTCCTAGAAAGCCTCTGAAGCCTGGGAGGGTGATAAACAGGTCCACCGCATGCCAAAAGCAGGGGGGGGGAGAGCGGGGGTCACGCACACATGCGCGGGGGTCATGCGCATAGAATTATGGCTGTGGCCAAGCCCACGCATAACCCCCCCCCCTGCGCTCTCTCCGCTTTTGGCACACGATGGGAAAAGGTTTAGCCATCCTTGCCCTATACCATTTCAGATCGGTGGTTGTCCGGTCTCTTCTTAAAAGCCTCCAGTGATGAAGCCCCTAGAACTTCTGAAGGCACGCCGTTCCATTGGTTACATGTCTTCACTGTTAGGAAGTTCCTCCTTAATTCCAAATTGCTCTCTTCTTGATTAGTTTCCATCCACTGTTTCTTGTCCTGCCCACAGGACAATAAGTTGAAACTCCCCCCCCCCTCATTTTTATGGCAGCCCCTCAAATACTGGAATACTGCTATCATGTCACCCCCTAGGCCTTTAGGTCTCTTATGGTATTGTGAAGCTTCCACTTAGTAGATTTCAATGTGTCTTACCTACTTCATCTTTGGTTGACTATTGTCCCGGTTCCACCACAAAATCGTGGAGGACAAAATCGCGCTCGACGAAAGCGCGCATTTGACGTCATCACAGCGCGACGAAAACACCGCGCTGTGATCGAAAAATGTAAAAATAA